CCCCAAAACCCCAAAACCCCAAAACCCCAGACTTCAACATTTAAAATAAAGATTGGTAAACATTTTGAATTTAATCAATAATCGAGCTGAGTATTTTTAAAGAACAATCCGCATACTTTTGGGTCAAGAGCACCATTCCATCCGAGTAAACTCGGCATTGCATATCTGACTAATATCTAAATCACTTTCAGTTCCCCAGCTGTAATATCTATAGACATAGTGTGCTGGATATCTGAGTTATTAACTACTTCAAAGTAGGTAAACTAGTACTACCTGTTGCTCTCCATTTCTTTCACCTTCATGTTCAAAATATTTTATGAGTTTTGTTTTTAGAAGCTGAAAAATACTTCTTCACCATCTTTCTCCTCACTTTCTATATCAGTGGCATCAGTAACGTAGCCTTTTTTGTATTTGGAATCAGGGTCAATATCCAGAATCTGTCTGACTTGTCCCATTGTCATAACGAATGTCTTTCTAGTCTCGTTTTAAACATGTTCTTGATCATCAATGTGGGAAAAATGAAAGCAAATGTAGCCATTCTTTGGAGAAATATAAGACTAGTTTTAACTGCTTGCTCTTATCTGCTTTAACTCGAATACGGCTGGTTTTACTTCAACGGATAAAATCATATTGGTTCTTGAAATTGTGAAAGGTTTAGGGAAGAACATTTTAAACTGTCCTCCTCTAGGTTTTCTAGATGGTGCTCTTTGATATTGAACTTGATCATTGTTTTGCTAATAGCTATATTAATTTTTTTATTAGTAAGAGTTTGCATTTCCTTCTTGATAATTCGACTAATATTGATTGTTCTTTTGATAATTATTTTTAAAGCCTCCAGTATTGTTGAAGTTGCCTTATTAGCTGCCACTTTCATTTTCTTTGAATCCATAGCTTGGAGATGTCGAATCACCATCGAAGTAGGATTGAGAGCTATTGTTTTTCTGATAGTTTGGATTCTGTTTATACTGCTAATTCTGGCCATATGGTTTAAATTACTTTGGATACTAAGAGCTATTTTGATTACCTGAGTTCTCATTATTATACTGATTTTTTTTAGTGTATACTGGGTTATTATTGTTATTATTAAAAGCTCTATACGAAATTCTAAGGAATGGATTGACCTAAAGTCTTTGAAATTTTGTTAAGTTCTTTGCTAGTATTTTTATTACCTCCATGTTACGATTAAATTATTAAATTAACTTTAACCTTAAATCATATTAAATCAACTTTAATTATCTTTAATATTTTATAATCACATTTTGTCTTACTTTTACCTCTGTGTTTTCCTATTAGATTTCTTATCGGCTTTACTATGAATTACGTTATTTAAACTTTGATCAATAGTCTAGTTCTATACTAAGTTTTCATCATCACCTCCTCCTTTCGTCACATCATTGACTCCATCTTGGTGAGACTATAACCCACCTATTTCAGAATTATCCATGGTCCCTTCCATTATATACTTTTTTGCTCTGATGTGTTCCCTCAGTTCCTTTGCTTATTTATCTCTAAAGCAAAGACCAAATGCACAAAACCAAGCACAGAACACAAAAGTTCCACAGCTTAGAAAGACATAACCCATATTTCCCATGTCTCTTTCTAGTTCACCCCCTATTGATGAATAGCAAGATGCTTTATTTGGAATTTCCGTGAAGTCTGTAAACATTAAGAAGGTCTATGCACTACACAAGCCAGAGCATTTGTAATTTTTCTCAAGTTCTTAAAGATAATTCAATACATCATAATCCCACTTATCAGAGTATTAATTACCCTCAATACATTTAATCACGTTTTTATTTGATCCTGAGAAGTTCTTTGCAGTAAAATTATAACCTTGATAAGCTCTCTCGTTGTATTTAGAACAAGGGCAGATATCAGTGCACATAAGCTGCTTGTTCAGTTCCAAGTAGGTGTTATCTATCTCTTTAACGTAGTCAAATAAAGCAAATCCACTCCAGTAATCTAAGTCACGATTGTTGCAATAATCAGTGAAAGCTTCTTTTCCGTAAAATCCAGCAGCTAAACTTAGTATTCCCAGCATGTAATATACTATAAATATAATGAAGGTGCAAACTCCAAACTATATTAAATCATGAGCTCCTTAGCAAATAATAATAATTACAGGGCATGATATGATACAGTGCTTTATTCTGGTAACTAGCAAAATTCCTATAAAGAAGAGAAATGTGAGGAGACATCCAAGAACAATTCCGAGATAGAAAGTCAGATCAGACAGATTTTCAGGAAGAAATTTCCCATATGATAGCCATATATTCATTTTCTTAGCTTTAATAGCCCAATACATAGAAAATGAAGCGCACCCCTAAAATAACCAGATAAAAGAAACTAATTACGACAAGTCCAATTGAAAAGAGTACAACAAAGGCTTTTACTAATTTTAAGGGGAAGTAACTAACCGTAATACAGCACATTTATTTATATTTTTATTAATGTTTCTCTTCACCTTATAATAGGATTAATTATATTAAAGGGGTTTTGGGGTTTTGGGG